ACAACTGTGTTATAGGATACACTTAGCAGTACTTGGTTCCGCCCTCTCCGCCCGCGGAGCCTTCCAGAAGTCGCCGGCGGACCCGTGCGGCTCACAGCTTAGTCACACTCCAGATTTCTATTATTAAAACTCATTATTTCATTCTTTATATACTTAATACGTGACCCAATCCCTCCGTCAACATGTCCACTTTGGGGACACTGGCTTTCGATGAGTATGGAAGGCCTTTTATCATCATTAAAGACCAGGATAAGAAGACACGGTTATCGGGCATTGACGCATTGAAGGTACAATGGGCTAGCAAGCGCTACACAGCTTTTCGTTAGAAAGCTGCTATTTTACAGTTAGTTTAATGAGCTGGGTACACAGATCTCGTATGACAGGTGGATTGCGATTACTAAGCACAGGTTCATGTAATCTTAAATTGTTTGTGCAAGAGCATCTCTATAGCATTAGCCAAATAACTAGCCAGTCATGCTAATGGTGGGGCCCATGTGCTTTCTGTAATGCGTTTAGCCGGTAGGTGCTGCTGACAGGGCTGTGCCCACTTCTCTCATCGGTGATGCACAGAATTTTAGGTTTTGGGTTTTTCAGGCAAAGGGAAGTTCTACCTATCTTTGGAATAAAATAAAAACGTGTGCATGACTCGGAAACGTTTCTATTTTGCAGTCTCATATTATGGCAGCCAAGGCAGTCGCGTCAACGCTTAAAACGTCTTTGGGACCAAATGGTAAGTCTGAACCAGTGTAGTGTTGTCATACCAAACTGTCCAAACGGTTTGTCATTTTGAAAGTGAAGCCTTTGTGTTTGAAACTATATGTCATTTTTGCTTTTCGTGAATTAGAGTTGGCCGTTAGAATACCGATTTTTAACACTTATTTCTCCTGTGGCTTTTTTTTCTTTTTACTTTTTCCATGCAGGTCTTGATAAAATGATGGTTGACAGAGATGGAGAGGTAACTGTCACCAACGATGGCGCCACCATTCTCAGCATGATGGATGTGGACCACCAGATTGCCAAGCTTATGGTAGAGCTGTCAAAGTCCCAAGATGATGAGATTGGTGATGGAACCACTGGAGTTGTAGGTATGGAAAAGGAAGATGAGGAGGATGGATTTTTTTGTTTTGTTTTTTAAATAAAAAAAAGAAATACAGACTTGGGACTACTTGGGAGAAGTTCTGATGCTCTCAATGTAGAGTCTTCCATCGTATGAGGGAACTTTTATCTAAATATGGTTGTAGATTGATTAGATTTTGCATTTGCATCTTCTCTGTTGCCCTCAGTTCTGGCCGGAGCTCTGCTGGAACAGGCTGAGCAGCTGCTGGACCGCGGAATCCATCCCATCAGGATCTCCGACGGTTACGACCAGGCCGCACGTATCGCCACCGAGCAGTTGGACAAAATTGCTGAAACCTTCCCCTACGATCCCAACAATACAGAACCTCTCATTCAAACAGCCATGACAACACTGGGATCCAAAGTGTAAGTCCCCCATACAAAATATTGTTGGGTTATTTCTTTTTGTTTATTAGTGTTATTTTTACTATTATGTTATAACTAATACAATTAACAGTAATTATTTTGGACTAGTTTCCTCTGCTTGTCTACATTTCCAAATGCTCTTCTGACCTAGCTGGCACGTCTTTTTCTACATTGTCATAAAGGCAGATAATAATAACTGTCAGCAGAGAAATTTCCTGATTATTATTCTGTTTTTGAGTTAAGGAAGGGAAAAGATGTTGTTTCAATACATTTTGTTTAACAAAATCTCTAAAGTTCTTCCAGCATGGATGCAGAAATATTTCTGTTCATTTTAAATGAACCTGCACTTGTGTTTCTGTCAGAACTGACACAGACTTACCATCATGCAACAAATGCAAAACCTTTTTTCAGTGTTTTTGCAATAGCATTGTTACCACAGTTTATCTAAAGTTCTGTTTGTCTTTCAGCATCAACCGGTGCCACAGACAGATGGCAGAGATTGCAGTGAATGCCATCCTCACTGTGGCCGATATGGAGAGGAAGGATGTCGACTTCGAGCTCATCAAGATGGAAGGCAAGGTCGGAGGAAAGCTGGAGGACACACAGCTCATCAAGGGAGTCATAGTCGACAAAGAGTTCAGCCACCCCCAGATGCCCAAGGTATGATCGATGGGAATTTGTAACAGGATGTCATTGCCTGTCTGGTGTTTGATCAAAAAGAATCAAATCAGTTGAAAGTTTCTGGTGCAAAATAAATGTTTCTGTTCTGACCTCCATCTGTAAAATTTGATTAACAGCTTGTCCTTTGTTATTTCACAGGTTCTGAAAGATGCTAAAATTGCCATTCTCACCTGCCCGTTTGAGCCTCCTAAGCCCAAGACCAAGCATAAGCTGGATGTGACTTCTGTGGAAGACTACAAAGCTCTCCAGAAATATGAAAAAGAGAAATTTGAGGAGATGATCCAACAGGTTGGTACTTCTGGTATTTCATTTATTGACTGATTAACATAGAAATCGCAGCCGCAAATAAGTATACACATATCGGCACACATGCTTATGGACACACGTTTATTTTAGGTCAAAAGTAATGGGGCTAACTTGGCCATCTGCCAGTGGGGCTTTGATGATGAAGCCAACCATCTTCTGCTGCAAAATGACCTGCCTGCTGTGCGTTGGGTTGGAGGGCCTGAGATTGAGGTAAAACGAGATGCAAAATTACTCTTTAATCAAACACTTTTTTTGTCCTTTGTCACTTTGATCAGTCAGGTATTTGCAACTTTTTGCCATATGTTACATCAAGTACAAAATATAAAGTGGAGTTTATGTTGAAGTGTCGATATCAATTGTTTGTCTGCAGTTGATAGCAATAGCTACAGGAGGCCGCATTGTCCCGAGGTTCTGTGAGCTGACACCGGAGAAGCTCGGCACAGCTGGTTTGGTGAAGGAGATCTCCTTCGGCACTACCAAGGATCACATGTTGGTTATCATGGAGTGCAAAAACACCAGAGCTGTGACCATTTTCATCCGTGGAGGCAACAAAATGGTGAGCCCAAAAGCAAATTCATAATTACATGTTTTGTTTTGGGGGTTTTTTTGTTTTATTATTATTCCAGTTTGATCAAGCGTCATCTTTCTTGATAGATCATCGAGGAGGCTAAGCGTGCTCTCCATGATGCTCTGTGCGTAATCCGCAATTTGGTCAAGGACAACAGAGTCGTGTACGGAGGTGGTGCTTCAGAGATCGCATGTGCCCTAGCTGTCAACCAGGCTGCAGACAAAGTAAGAGAAATTGCATCAGAGACTTTCTGACCTCAGCGTTTACGATAAACATGATTGTGTTCCTGCTCGACTCTCATTGACATCTGTCAATTTCCTTTTCAGTGCCCGTCATTGGAACAGTATGCCATGAGGGCTTTTGCTGATGCTTTAGAGGTAATCCCAATGGCCCTGGCTGAGAACAGCGGGCTGAACCCCATCCAGACCATGACAGAGGTCAGAGCCAAACAAGTCAAAGAGAACAACCCATTCCTGGGCATTGACTGTTTACACAAAAACACCAATGGTAAGCAACCACTGCAGTAGATACTGAACTAAACATGGCTTCAGTCTGGATTACCACCTTTGGAGATGACAGCACTGCACTTCAATGTTAAAGCACAATGATTTATTGAATTCTTTTTTTTTTTCCTCCCTTTTTTCCCCCTGTAGACATGAAGCAACAGCATGTGATCGAGACCCTGATTGGCAAAAAGCAGCAGATCCTGCTCGCTACTCAGGTAGTCAAGATGATCCTGAAGATAGACGACATCCGAAGCCCCGGGGAGACCGAGGACTGAAGCCCCCCTGAACACGAGAAAGGCTCGGGCGT